TATACTGTGTTTTGAAAGTAGAATATCTGTCAGATGTTGAGCAATGTAACCCTTAGATGCATAAGTGGGTCTTTTTTAGACCCGGTGAGGTGGTTTTCTTGGAGTATCTTTGTAATTACATTTTTTTATCATTTCATATTCCAGCTATTCCTCAAAAAACATGTTTTGGATATCATGCCATTCAAATTTTAAATTTTAATTTTAAGAAATTGTAGTTTTTGTATTTCCACCCCAAGCTTCCATAAGTGGGTCAAAAAGGACCCGCATGCATTTTCTATGGGATTTCGTTTTTTTTCTAAATGTTCATCAAAATGTCAAATTATAAATAGTGAAAAATTAAATATAAAAAATATTTCTAGTGTGAACCAAAATATACGATATACAAGTGATTTTTCTTAACCAAAATGACAAATTGCATAAAAACACATTATTCTAATACAGGTCCTTTTTGACCCACTTATGGAAGAGTGTAGGGTCCAGTCACTCGTGCATCTTTAAGATAAGCATACAATTATTATAAATGGACTATCCATTTCAATGGTTTAAGTTGTAAAGGTGCATTAGTAGTAGCAACAGAATGAAATAAAGTTGCATTGTAGTTTGTCAATATGATGAGGTCCTGCTGGTTCCTCACAGCATGTGAAACATGTCGATGAACTTAATGCTGGATTAGTCATAGCAGGAACTGCAGGTAGACCTAATATTATGAGATGATATAAGTATAATATGTTGTTGCTGAGGGCCTGTCCCGTCTGGATTTTACTGTAAGGCCTGGCCTAGTACTATACATATGTAAGGCCTAGTACTATACATCGATATGGCCTAGTACTACACACCTGTAAGGCCTAGTAAGGCCTAGTACTATACATCTGAATGCAAGTCATCAACATTAGGCCTAACTCTTTTTCCCCTTTTCATTTCACTTTGAAAACATTGTTCTGTTGAAACATTGATTAGTGAAATCACTATACTGCTGATATTCTGGTGAGTATTGTGAATGATATATCAATGATTGATTCGCAGCTTTTGTAGTAGTAAGCCGACTGTCTGTTAGGGCGCGATAATGAGATTGAAAGACCATTTATAAAAAAAATAAATAAAACATTATTCACATTTTAAAAAATGTAACCGTTGGTCTCCTCCTCTCTTCCAGACGACCGGCCTAGTGGGCCTGGCTGTGTCCCACAATCCTCATGAGGTGAGCACCGTGTCCTCACATCTATCTGTGATTACATGACGTTCCGCAGCCATCACTTTTATTCCATGTGTATTACCTCCACTGACCCCCCGCTCTGTCTCAGCGTCTGAGGAGTCTCTACTCCAAGATCCTGGCGTCCCTGCAGACCATGCCGCAGGACGCCGCCTATAGGAAGTACACCGAGCAGCTGGTGGGCGAGAGGTTCAACCACGTCCAATCAGTGAGTGAGGAGATCCTTTAGTGCAAAATCTACAGCTCCTCTACCACAACCATCAGTAACAAGTGGACATGGAGAACTACATGTTGCTAAATCCACCGCGGAGAATAAAAAGAAGGGCAACCAGGCAACCATGCTCGGGGGTTCTTCTTCACTGCTTTCGGTGTATTTTGTGGGGGAAGCAAAGCGCCACTTACAGGCCCGGCATATGTACTACAGCGGGTCTAGAGGTCTTGTGTGGAGCTGAACTCAGGTCCAACAAAAGAATATTAATATATACCAGGGAGGCGCTGGTGCACATTTCTCAGTCGATATCGATGTTTAGAATAATTTGTCCGGTTCCCAAAGTATTTTCTATTTTCGTATTATGAATTCCCTTTTGTGTCATGGAAACAAATCCTTGTTTTGAAAAATATGAACAAACCCGAGAGAAGAAATACATACCCCATCTAGCATTTACTGAGAGCCAATAAGCATGCTGGTGTTATTTTCTTATTGGCAAAATGATTGTAGTGATTTTGAAATGTCTTTGAGCACTGTAGCGTCAGGATTGGGTTGGAGTGTGTATGGTGTGTGTTTCATGACTGTGTCTCTGTTCTCAGGAGCCGGATGTTGATAAGCTGGAGAATAAGATCAACTGTGGGCAGATTGAAGAGGTTATTTTCCAGGTAGGTCCCTGATAAGTGCCTTCACACATTGTTCACTTAGTGCTGCAGCAGGGAGACACCAAACGTCTCTCCCCATGAGGGACTTGGTCTGGCCCGATACAAATCCCCTGTTCACTGATCTCTTCATGGGATGAAATGTATTTCTGTTGCCTGGTGGTTCAACACAGTTGGATACTAAAGATAGCGCCTCTTGCCTGATAAGTTCAAACCTCCCAGAGTCTTTTCATCTCCCTTAGCAAAAAATGGAATTTGTGTAAATGTATTTCCTGAAAGCATTATATCTGAAGTGGCTGTGCGTCCTGTGTGCAGGCTGAGTGTGAGCTGTCTCTGGCAAGGAAGATGTCTGAGTGGAAACCCTGGGAGCCGCTGATAGAGGAACCCCCCACCAACCAGTGGAAGTGGCCTGTGTGAGCCCCCTGTGTGTGCTGTCATACTGTGTGTGTGAGATCATCCCTGCTTCTAATGAAGTACTGTACAAATAAAAACCCTTCAAACATCTCCCCATTTATTCTCAAGTCATTCAAGAACAGCACACAACCTCTGATCACATGGGTCTGTATATTAAAGACATGACAGTGTGAGGATCATATGGTTCAGCTTTCCATACACAACCTGGGAAATAACAGTCAACATTTGTATTTCAACTAGTTTGTTAGCAGATTTTATACTAAGTGTCATGATTGTAGTTAAGACTTTGGTCACTCAGGTTATCCAGGTAAATGTTTGGTTCAATATGGAGTGCCTGTAGTAAATATGCATGTGTCCCTTCATTCAGTGATCATATTCCAAGTAAGAAAGATCCCTGTTTCAGCTGCTACAGTTCTAAAGAGCAAAGGAAGCATTATGTACAGCACTAAACCCAATCCACAAACATGCTGCAGAAGTAGCTCGGGAACCCCCACTCAGACACTGCTGCCTCTCTGGAGCAGCTGGAGCATGATGGGATAGATGGGAGCAAACTCCTTCCCCTGCCGGGCCCTTACCGCCTGCACGTAGGCCTCCAGAGCGCCCCTGCAGGAGAGCACAGTTACAGCTGGTGATTATTAGCAGTGTGACGTTCACTTATCTTGTTGACCATCGGGAAGCACCCTTTTAAACTTGAGTGAATATATGAGGAATTATAAGATACCATTTCAAATGTCTGAAGTATGTAATGCACCAGATCTGAACTGTTGATACCGCTTCAACACAACATGCATCAGATGACTGCCACTCACCAACACTGCACTGCTGCTGTCTTTAATGTGAATATGCAGAGGTGTGTATTGCATAACTGAAATGAAATTAAGTTTCATTTTGCAAAATGACTCTTCTCCCAAAGGAAAATCACAGCAATGATTCATCACTTGTTTGAATGTTATGTTTATGTTGGTTATATACAGGCCATTATGATGTCGAGCTGGCTCTGTTGCAACACTTATTTCAGTAGTGTTATACTATTATTAGATTCCACACAATGGTTTCTGATACAAACAGTGTTGTTAAGTCAGTCCCAGTTTGCACTTGATCCTGCAAGTTATTCAAATGATGGATGTTATTCCACAATTGGAATGTTTTATAGGGTTATGATTGTTAAACCATGCAGCATGCTCACTGTAAAGGGTAAGAGAATGAGAACAGACCTGATGAGGGAGAGCCGGTCCCGCTCAGAGGGGTGATCGTCCAGCCACTGGGAATACCGCGCCACAGACCACTCGGCTCTCTGTGTGGGGGGGGGGGAACACACTGCTTTAAGTATAGATGTACACCAAAAGCATTGTGAGGACAATTGGTCAGATATTGGTCGGCGGGTTAGGCCTGGTTTAAGGTTCGGGTTAGCTTTGCTGTAGGTACAGTCTGTAAGGAATAAGAGTTCTCACAAGTAAAACAAAAGTGTGTGTGTGTAGACCTGGTGAGGAGACTTGAGCTCGGGGGGGGCTCTGGTGAAGAAGAAGTGCAGCAGGGTGCTGCAGGGGAACAGCTCCCCCACAGCCAGGCTGCTAGAGATCAGCTCGCTGCTCTGGAACAGCAGCGGCCTGAAACACACACATTCCCATATTTTTAGATGGGCCTATTGTTAAGTACCCCTGTTTTTGTTGTTGTTTACATCGCTATAGAACAAATAAGCATACAGCATTTGATTGGTTTCCCTCCTTCCAAACAGCTCTACTTTATTCAGTTTCAGATTATTATACAAATGAACTCCAACGAGAGAGCAACCTGAGTAAGTCATTGCAGTTATCTTTATTGCTTTTGATACAATTCATTTGGTTATATTGAGTTGCAGTCACGGATCATTTTGAAACCCTTCCTCCATGCAGAGCAGATCTGAGCTGCAGAGTAATGTGTTGCAGAGCCTCTCTTGAACACTACCAAATTCCTTCCACTAACATTTGTGACGGCCCCTAGGCCTTAGACCCAATTCCCCGGTTAGCCACTCCCCCAATCAGGAGAGATTGATGGCACCTGATTTAGGTTGACTGCTCAGCTACAAGTATGGGTGCCTGAGCAGTCAGTCTCTCTCTCTCCTCTTGGGTTGCTTGGCTCTACTGGACCTTGGTTTGGTTGTCTTTGCTTTATATACTGATGCATGTTCACACACCCACACACTACACACATTACTGATTAACTGACTTCATAATTAACTTAGTTTCTTTAAATAAATGTACTTTAATTGGAAATGAATCATGTGTGGTCTCCTTTTTTTGTCCGTCCTTGAGCCAGGGCATGACACTATCCCTTGAATATATAACCTGAAGTTTTGAGGGTCTTTTTGTATAAGAGAACACAAGGGCAGCACCACAACATTACAGATAAGCTTTTTCTCACAGTCTAGAATCTCTATCCTAGGCGTGGCTGTTTTATTATTTCTCTTTGGGGACTGAGATCCTGGAAATGAAACCATAATATAACTCATATCCATTAGTCCTAATGCACTAATGACTGGAACACACTCATTTCCACTTACAATGTTGAAAAAACATGCAGTTGCATGAGCAACGGACAGAGCAAAGATTGTTATCCAGATATTGTGAATTCATAGAGTTTTCAAATAATGTGGTGAGACAAGTACAGCTTAGGAGTATATTGTTATTGTTTAAAAAAGCAGATCCTAAACATGTAATTCGGAAGAGCAAATACATACAACTTGCACATGTCACTGTTGAATCAGTAGAACAATAAATAAACCAGTTGTTAAAGCAGTAGCAGAAAAGATAGTCACATGGGAGATACAAACTGACTGATTGTTTAAAAAAAAAAAAAAGAGGCCCATGCTAGTTCTTTGTTTAATAACTTGCTTCCGCCTTCCAAAATATAGTTTTGATAATAAGTTGATGACAATGTTTTGATCTAAATGTTTCCCAGTATAAGTTTATTTATCACAAAAATATTGTATGTTAATACAAATTATCAGAGGGGTTCATTGGACCTTATACTCTGCCGACATTTGGATGTAACTGAAGTGCTCAAAGTTTGCCAAGTAACAAAGTGCAAAAATAAGTAACATATACATTTGTAATCAGCAATCACCCATAGAACTCAGCCAGCAACAATATGTACTGCACAGTACGGCACCACTTTAACCCTGCGATGCATAAGTGAGTCTTTTTGGACCCGGTGAGGCGGTTTTCTTAGAGTATCTTTGTAATTACATTTTTTTTATCATTTCATGTTCCAGCTATTCCTCAAAAAACATGTTTTGGATATCATGCCATTTAAATTTAAATTTTAAATTTTAAGAAATTTTAGTTTTTGTATGTGAGTGGGTCAAAAATGACCCATGTGCATTCTCTATGGAATTATGTTTTTTTTTCAAAATGTTAAAAAAATGTCTACAATTATAAATGGTGAAAAATGAAATGTACAATATTTCTAGTGTGAACTATGGCATAAAAACACATACGTATTATTCTAATACGGGTCCTTTTTGACCCACTTATGGAAGAGTGTAGGGTCCAGTCACTCGTGCATCTAAGGGTTAAGACTGTCTTCCATCCAACCTTCCCTCCCGACTCCACCCCAGCAGCTTCCGAATCATGCCCTGCCCAGTTCATCATGTTGATTCTATCATTTCTGCCATGCACTGTTGCAAGTCACAGAGGAGAAAAGAGCAAAACACAACTCAACGGTAAGAGATTAAAAAAACCTTCACAAAGATTTTTTAAATATTGTAGAATCATTTGAGACCTTATGGAACAGCAACTGTTGTCTTATGATTGTGTTAAGTTGAAGTTTATTTACACATTACAGCATGATATTAGGGTTGGGAATGGGTCACTGCTCCAATAAAAGCGAAATTCAAGTCTAATGCTTGATCTTATTTAATGGTATTAACAAGATTTAAAAAGGTATTTTGTACTACTTGGGGCAGGCAAGGTCAAAAGGGATGATAAAAATAAACATTGCTTGCCTGTAATTGTGTCATTTACACTTTATTTATATTCAAGGAAGTATTTATGTGGATAGATAGCACATAGGCAAGGCTATGTGTTGCTCTTGTCGGAATGAAAAGACATGCATTATTGTAATGGAATTATCACTTCCATTACAATTTTAAAGTGTAACGTGTAGTCTATTAATTTATGGATTTCTGTCTTCTCTCCTTAATGACTGTACAATGTTTTGTTTGTGTCAAGTGTCATAGTTGGATCAGGAAAAATGCACACCTATGTGTTTCTGCTCTTCCTCTTTATAGGTAAGCTCACTTAAAAAAATTATTTTATTTTAAACTAATATCAGAATTAAGTATTTAAAGGATCTATTTAGACGTATCCTAATGCCTGATGTAAGATTATACTGGTGGATGTGAGCAGCTGTAAGCGGTTGATTTCCTAGCTTTGAGAATCAGGAAGACACTAATAACATTTTAATGGTCACTGCTGCATGTGTAACGAGTTTATCAATCAGCAGAACCAGCCCTAATCGGATTTGAGATATTGGATTACATCACTGTTACACTGTTGAGTTGTTTCTGTTTTGCTTGTGTTTTTTTCTGTTGATGTTGTTTGTTTGTCATCCATCAAAGAGCATTTGATCAAAATGGTAATTTGCCATAACATAATGTATTCCAGTTATGATATAATAAAGGTTCTGCTGTGTGATGTTACATCATTTACAGTATGAATTCTACATTTTAGATCATTAATGCTATAATCTAAATAATGACACCACCTTCATGTGTGTGCATTAAGTACTGAGCAACATTGGGAGCTTAAAGGGGAACTCCACCAATTTCACATATGAAAGTATGTTCACCGATATTGGGGTGTGCGATTACAAATGTTGTACGTTTGTGTAAAGCCTTTTTTGGCTCTTGAGGCAGCTGTGTAAAGACCGATAAATCGCCTCAGTTTATGTCACTTGAGTCAGCGTTGGTTCGGCTTGAGATTACAAGTTTTAAAAAGAAAAACAAATCTGAATGTGGGGATTAAGAAAGTTAGTGAGTTTGCCAGCCTCCTGCTACCCTGACGTGCTAATGGCCAGCGGTTCAAGTTAACATTAACATTGGCCGAGATGAGCATTACATACCCAAATCTCTGGGCGAACTGTAGGCAGAATAATTGCATATTTTTTTTTAAAGTAGGTGCCAGGTTCGCCAAGAATGAAGAATAGTAATAATAAATACCTTCTTTAAAAAAAAAAACAATTGTGAGTTTGACAAGTTCATATAGTAGGAGTGCATTAGGATTAGACGCATGGCTCAGTCAAAACTTCAGAATTACAATTTGATGAAATGTAAAGCTTAATAATTTGCATTTTGATTGTTTACTACATGTGAGAGTGACATTGATACAGTAAAATGTGTGGTAAAATATGATATATATGTTGTTATTATATGTTAACTTGTAACTATTACTGTTATTTGCAATGTTTGTAGGTATGTGTCGGTGTATTTACGAGAAGTACTGGGTTAGCTGTTTGCCCCTTTTCAGTCTTTATGCTAAGCTAGGCTAATTACCACCTGGTTGTAGTTCAATACTTAAGGCACAGACCCGAGAGTGGTATCAACCTTTTTATCAATTCTTAGAAAGAAAGCAAACGATCTCCTAAAATGCCACTTCTTAAGTGACCAAGCTGCTAATCCACAATAATTCCTGACTTTAACAAGAATCCAAATCCAAATACAGAAACGTGAGATTTTAGAGAAAATTGTGCAAAACATTGCATAATTTGGATTACAATAAAATCAGGATAATAATGTACACAAAATGTACCATTTATAACCATTTTAGCTGCTGGTGTATTGGATTTGCTGAACAGTTGGTTCAACTAGTTCTTCAACTCGTAAATGTCTATTAACTTTCACTTCAACCTTCTTTAGACTCTCACAATGTAGTGCTAAAGTACTGAAATTGGGTATATAAGGCTAAGGAGCATCTTAAATCATTTATATTGTACGTGTTATACAAACATCCTGTCTATGATTGCAGGTTCAACTTTGAACAAAAAGGATGGAGATTTCGGCACTATTACCGCCTGCATCGACAAGAACAAAAGCCTCAGGTTCAAGCATCCAGTCTACTCATTAATAACACAGAGTTCTCGCATTCATTGCCATTATTTTCTATGCATTTGTTGTATGTTTTGACAACAATTAAAGTATGCCACAACATTTTGATCTATTTAAGGTTGGACTGCTCTTATCCAGATTGTGAACACTCTCCAACGTTTGCCTGTACATTTACGGCATCGGTTGAGTTCCTGAAGGCTAACACATCAACCGACTGCAAGCCTGTTCTCCCAGATCATCGTGTGCTGTACATCAATAAAACCACAAGCTACAGCTGCATCCTGACGCGAAAAGGCACAACGTATGTGAAGAATATTACCATAGACTACGGAATAGTTAAAGGAAGAGGTTAGTAATACTTTAAATTTAAATTATTTCTCTTGGTTGAAATATTTCTTCTAGGTGAACAGGCTAATAACAATGTCACTTGTATACTTGCTGTTTACATTTTGAATTAATTCAAAATCTACGCACAAGGTGATGGACGGAACATGATTGGTAGACAATTGGGATATCTGATACATA